CTGATGACAAAAGCATTTCTACTGTGTTTCATTTCGTAAACATTGAGTAAATCAAAATATCTGACTGGTTTATGACTCTCTTAACATTGATAAAACTAAATTAATTCCTTTCCATCCTCTTATCAAAAAACATTCACTGCCAATTAACATGCCTCAACTTGTCATTGACAATATACAGATTAAAAAAGTAAAAGTAATCAACTTTCTAGGTGTTTGTATAGATGAAAATCTAACGTAAAAAATCACATTAACATCCTACCAAATAAAATTTCAAAAAGTGTAGGAATGTTGTATAAACAGGGGTGGGCTGGGGCCGGCTCGGTCCGGCTCACGCGAGCCGGTTTTTATAATTTTTGAAACTCGGTGATCCGCTTGTTAATTTAACCCTAAAATTAAAAATAAGTCATTTTAATAGTATGTTTATGCCAAAAATGCACATCGCGCTGATGTGCCACACACTCGTAAACATATCATGTGCGCAACACAATACACACATCATGTGCGTACGTAAAATACGAAGTGTAATAAACAGACACTGTTCCGAATCATAAAATATTACAACAATTAAATGAAGACATGACACTGTTAACTGCAATATGGGAATGTTTTCTCTGTCTACTTGTATTATGCAGGATAACTGTAATTTAGCATTTTTTTTCTTTATGTCTTCTTAAAGAATTAGAATGTAGAACATTAATATGTAAACAAACAATAACACAATTTAAAAGTTGAATAGAGCACGAAAAAATAAACTTTAAATTCGGAATTCGCTAGTAAAATTTTCGGAATTCGAAACTATATTATGAAAACGAATTCCGGAATTCTAGAATTTCGAATTTCGAGATGCAATCAATAAGATAATATTTATAATTAAAACTTACTTTGTTTATTGAATTGAGAATATAAAATACAATTAATTAGTCTAATTGCTAAGGTAAGTAATATAAGTAAAACTAAATTTTTTAGTTTACATAAATAAACAATTGTAAATAATTATTTGTAAATAATATAAATTCATTTATTTAAAAATTGGGTGAAAATAATGGCAGTATTTAAATTTTAGATTTTTTTTATTGAAAAATGAAGAGAGTGCAAGGAAATTTACTGTCCCTTGCAAATGTCAAAAAAACAAAACTTAATGAAGAAATACTAGAGAAAACAATAAAATCTGCAGATATTGAACCTATACAATCAATTTCAAATAAAACGTTAGCTTCGTGTTCATCAGCATCATCTACAATATCATTGGAATCATGCGCAGTACGCATTAGTCAACTACCAGGTTGTTGGACAGAAAAACAAGTGAGTTTGTTCACAGAACAATATAAATGGTTAGTGGTAAAAGATAGCAAATTAGATTGTAAAGACTGTTCAAAAATAAAAAACCTTAGAAATATAGAACAAAAAACATATTCACGTATCAAATGAGTCGATTTCATGTTCAATAATAAAAGGCAAGCTTCTCTACGCAAAAAAATTAAAAACATTCCACTTCATGCGAACATTTAAAAATTCAAGAAAATTATTCAATCTAAAAAACAAATTTTACCAAGTGTAGTTAAAATATTAAATTCTAAAGCAATTAACATAACTGTAAAAATTTTCAACACAGTTTATATTCTTGTTAAACGAAACAGACCATTTTCTGATATAGAAGCAGCTTTGAAATTACAAGAAAAAAATGGTGTTATTATAGGAAATTGTTTACATTCCAGACGCACTGCCACTAGAATTGACGAACATATTGCAATGCAGATTAAAAAAACTGTTTTTAAAAACATTATCAATTAAAGTTCAAAAATTTGTTTCATAATTGACACTTGCTAAAAAAATAATTACACTTGCTAAATAATTACACTTGCATGAAATGCACGTCTAAATAATTACACTATGTACGTCACTTGCTACATATTTACACTTGCTAAAAAAAGTGTTTTGGTAATATATTTACAATATGTGTGAAGTACAGTCTGCAATTGAATTTCTCATGATTTTCATAGAATTTAAAGAATTGACGTCAACAGCTGCCGATAATTTTGGTATTTATGAAAAAAAAGTTCAAAATTAAATTTTATTAAATAAGTTTAAGTGCATACCGTTTGATTACAATAATAAATTTGTGTCTCTTCCCAGAGAGCAATTATTAGATAGTGTGACAAAGAATATGAAAGCAAGACTTTTATCGGCTAGTCATATAAATATGGATGAGGATAAGAATGAGAGCAATGACACTGATAACTATGAAAAATTTGTGCAGCTCTTTGAGATTTTAGATCCTTCTACCTGGTCATTAGATAAAGTTATGTGAAATTTTAAAGTTTAAAGTAGATGTTAATGATTTTCGTGATTTTGTAGATGCAAACATACAGCTAAAAAATGTTCAGTTACCTAATTCAATTTTAAGGGTTAAAAAAATAGCAAGCACAATTGCTATTAGCAGTTCAGAAGCTGAGAGAGATTTTAGTCTTATGAATTTAATTGCATCAAAATTAAGAACCAGCTTTACTGTGGAACATATATCTAATCTAATGACAATAATTTTATTAGGGAAACCAATTGCAAATTTCGATGCCATTCCTTTTGTTACATGTTGGATGAACCAGAATCACAGGTTAGCAACTGAAACAAAGGTAAGAAGAGGGCACAATAATGATGTTTCTGCAAATGAACAAGGCATATGGATTCTACATTAATTCATTTATTATTTAGGCATATACATAGCGTAGTATGTTAAATTTGGAATTTATCAGTTTTATTGTGCAATAAATATTTTGTTTAGTTATTTTCTGCAATAAATGATTTGTTTTGTTATATATATTTTATACTGTACAAAAATTAATGAAGGCAATGTACGCATTTACCTTTTTTTTTTTTAAATAATAACGAGCCGGTTTTTCAAAATTTGGCAACCCACCTCTGTGTATAAAGCAAGAAATGTTTTAAACAAACATGATTTAAAACAACTATATCACTCATTTATTAATTGTTACATAAGCTATGCAAGCATTGCTATTTATTGTCAGCAGAAGCATGTAGCACGTCTTATATTTTTAAAAAGCGTTACACTCATGCCAAGCCTCTAAGATTTAAAATGAAAGTTTTAAATATATACGAGCTTAATATTTTTAATAGTTTTTGTTTTAGGTTTAAATATAAAACCAATTTATCCCCTATTTCTATCCATAATTTGTATTCATCAAAAGAAAAAAAGAAAAACATTTTACGCAATGATAATTTTATTAAGCAACACGTTTTTCAAACAAATTTTTTTAAATTTTGTATTGATTATTGCGGACCATTCTTATTTGTTTTTATTTTGTATAATAATTTATTATTAAATATTTGTATTTTAAATATTGTAATGATATGCTTATTGAAAATGTAACAAAAAGAACCAAAAAAAATATTGTTATGAGGAGAGGAAAAATTTGTTTTTCTGGAGTTTCTTTAAAAAAAGATAGATCTTAGAATAATTTTTTTTTTTTGAAATATAGATACTTTTGGAATAAAGAATCTTCCCTTTTTTTTTTACTTTTTTCTTGTGCCTAATTTTACAATATTAATCAATAATCGTATTGTTGATGATGATGCTATTCCACATCTCAGAGTAATCAAATGAGTCCAATAATCTTTTAGTTGATATTGATTTTATTATATAATCACTTGCTTTTGTTTGGATTTGCTCTGACTGTGAGATTAAGTATACTAACATAAATATAGGTCATAAAAATAAAAAGTTTTTTTATCAGAATGCTATTTTTTAGCATGCTCTAGAAAATAACTTGAAAACTACTCGTTATGGTGCTTTAAAAGTTTGCATAGAGGTTTATATGATAAACTCATTGAAGCGATATATATATTTTAAATTTTATTCTTTAACTGAGTTATGGGGTTCAAAAGTGAGCTATTTCGCCCTATTAGTTGTTTATGCTCTATATGCTTTGAGAAGGCGATTTTTAGATGTTTTTGATTTAGTGTATCTTGACTATCTAGAGAGAAAGAAAGATATAATTTCGTGATTTCGTGGTATATTATAATAGGAGTATAAGATTTGCTTTAATCTTGCACCACACAATTTTATTAAAATTTCTTCTCACTTTTAAACAGCTTCCGTAGTTTACGTCCGTTTTTAAATAACATGCTTTGTTAAATGTATAAAAATACAAAATAAATTCTTTCCAAAATATCTAGTCAAGCGGGGGGAGAAATTGCCCCTATTAACCTCCCTATAGATCCGCATTTGGTTGCTTAAGTATCACATTTCCGTATTTTTAAAATAAATTTCAAACCAATCTTTTGTGTGAGATGCAAACTTGTGAATAAAATGAGTTTTGACACAATTCAATATTATTTAATGTAACTCAATTATGTAAATGTAATTCAATATTATTTAATGTAACGTAGTTAGTGTAAATAATGGTTTTCACGCATTTTTGATAATTTTCAAAATTTCACTTTCAGTTGTTTAACATTTGTTCAAGCACTTTTTATATGTTATTTTTCACTACATAAGTTAAATAATAGGAGCAAGAGAAAAATATTTACGGGTTGCGCCCTGATAAGGCAAATATTGTTTTCTTTTCACCACGATCATCTAGATTTTATTTATATAACATGGCATTGTATTTTTTTTTACTGACAAAATAAATTAATCTTAAAAAAAATAGAGAAATTATAAACGTTGTTGATGAAATAGAAAGTTATGATGAAAGTATAAAATTTGTCACCTGAAGATGACAAATTTTAATCAACGCTACAAAAAAAAAACAAGATTTTGTTTTTCTATTGTTGTTTAACTAACTGTAAACACAGGTAACATATTACTGTTAGTTATCTCAACTATACAATTATCATTTTTTAATGAGTTTACACCTCACTTACCGGGTACCTGAATGTTGCAATGCAATAAAAATATCAGTTCCGTTTAATTTTTTTTTCAGTTGGCGAGATTTTTTCTTTTATAATGTCTAAATTTTTGTTATACTTTTTTTTTAATGCAGTTAGGATGAAGAATGCTGCTGGCTTCTTGTTTGCTTCAATACTTTTCTTTTATAAAAGTAAGAGTTTTTTTGTTAATAATTTTATTAAGGTGTACTTTGATTTATGTTCAAAGAAAAACCAGTACCACAGGGATTACAAAATTGACTGTAAGGCAAAATATACTGTATAATAAATAAATAAATGCATATATATATATATGTATATATATATATATATATATATATATATATATATATATATATATATATATTTATATATATATATATATATATATATATATATATATATATATATATATATATATATATATATATATATATATATATATATATATATATATATATATATATATATATATATATATATATATATATATATATATATATATATATATATATATATATATATATATATACATATCTATATAAGGGTGTCCCTAAAATACAACTTTTTCACATAACTAAAAGGTTTGAAACATATCCTAGTTGCATACTTTAAATAAAAGAAAAATGCAAAATTTTAGATCTTTGAACCTTCAGGAAGCGTTATGTGTAGATTTCCATTTTTTTTCAAAATGTCTAATATTTAAATAATAAAACAATCCCAAAAAAAACAGTTTATTTTGGTTCAAAATATTTTTCATTTGATTAAAGTTAAAAAAAAGCTTACATTTAATCTAATACATTTTGCTATGAAATTACATTGTTAAAATCACTCTTTTTCAATCATTTATCCACACTTGTTCTATTCTTTTTAGCGACCACCATGATGTTGTGTCTCTGATTTTCATTATGACTGTCTGCCAGGAAATCTTGCATTAGAAAAATATTTATTTCAGACCAGTTATTTGTGCTGAATATTTGAAACAGAGTTTTTGAAAAACTTGAAGCTGAGACAAAGATCAACAAATTTTCTATCAGAAATCCAAAACAATATATTTTGTATATTAAGATTGAGTATGAAAAAAACATAAAAGCTGTTTTTCCTAAAAAACTTGTGCAAATGAGTGTTCTCTTAATAATGGTTATATTATCTCTAATCTCTGGTTTCTTTATTTCAAAATAAAAAATACCCTTGGGATAGTAATAATAAATGAGTTTCTGTATCATTATAAATTTCTCTTCATTAATTACACCTGGATCTGCTAGTGATATAATAACAACATTTTCAACCAAGTACCATGTATGTCTAAGAAGAGAATTTTTCAGACTTTTGCGTTCTACCTCTATGTTTTTGGCTGCTTTAATAGCTTTGAGATCATTAGATGTTGCCTGGATTATGATAGATGACTTTAGAAACCAAGGAATGTAAAATATAGCTACAAAAGGTACAACTTTGTTGACATCTTCTATCTCCTCCACTGAGATAAATTTCAGTTTTTTCTGAGTTAGTTGAAGCATCAATAAATATATTCCATTTGCCATAAATCTCTTGAGAGGAAGGGGGTTGATAAAGGTAAAAATTTGGTACTTTGTTGCCAGAATAAAAGAACCTAGTTCACATAATCTTATTCAGTCTATTCTAATCATGGAAAAGGTTTTCAGGGTAATGGATTTTCCTAAATATTCTTTAGCTTCTTGTACTATCTTATGCATGTAAGAATTGTTTTAAAAAATGTTGAAATTAAATCTGTCTAATCATTTAATATCTTCATTGCATACCTGAAAATTTTCAGGCCAATTTTTTTTTAATATGCAAAAAACTGTTTTTTTGGTGCCTTAGTCTTTCCTGTTAGCTACACTAAATGACTGATACACTAAATGTCTCTCATATATGTGTCGGCGACGTAAAAATGACATAATGTGCTTCACGACAACATACCTACTTACAAGTTAGCTCGATTTTAAACATCAGTGTTTCAAGCAGTTGTGTAAGTACAAACAGCAAAAATGTTATTTTCAATTTCAAAATCTTCTATTACCTTTCTAATTTTGTTTTGCTTGGTCTTTGACTTTAGATGGATTTGCTTGGAACATTCCTAGCAGAATATCGCTATTATTACCATCCTCAGGAGCCACCACACATTTTAATCTTTTCCATTTTAAAAGTAATGTTATTTTTAAAACCCGTTTTTTATTACATTTTAGCAGTATTTTTATTTTATGTTTCTTACCAATTAAAGCATTTTTATAACTATTTCTAATTTCCTCCCCTTTGTTTTTATGGTATGAAATCTTTCTTTGTGGGTTCTCAATTTTAAACAAACAATATTTTCCAAACTATGCACTGTATGCTTTAGAATTGAGGAAAGAACTGCTGTATGACCCTCTTACACTATTAAGAAAACTTGTAACAACTTCAACAGCTTGTAGCAACTTCAACAGCTCGTCGCTTTTATGAATCCGTTCCCTGATATTTATAAGTGCAGCTCCTGAAATTCTTTTTTTTTTCTTGTTAATGACACAGAAAAAGTTTTATCTCCTTCACTTTTTGACTCAAAATTTATCGATTATCAGAATCAGAGACTATATGATTTTCAAACAACTTTTTATTTTAAAACAAGTTTTTTGTCTAACTCATTCTAAGTTCTCTTTCGGTAAATCATGTCAATACCCTCAGTTATATACTAAAATGGGTTTGTTTAAAAGATACAATGGTCTCATTAGGTTTTCTACCATATTGTAAATTTTTTTTACAATACCTTCAAATTTTTTTTTTACAGCTAGTTCTTCTTCACAGTTTATTGTTTATTTTCATACTACTATTTATTTATATATCAAAAAAAATACTTTATTGTTATGTTGATGTATTACATATAATCTCTGTTATAGTATTATAAAAGCAATACTTTCTTATTTTTAAAATCAAAATAAATAAATGAGAAAGAGGTGGAAATGTGAAAAACCATATAAAATATCCAAAAGTACCTGTTTTCCAGTTTTTACACCTAATATTTGTAATAATACTTAAACCCCTAAATTTGGTAAAGTTGCTTATTTTTATGCATGTAACCAGGATATATTTATATATATATATATATATATATATATATATATATATATATATATATATATATATATATATATATATATATATATATATATATATATATATATATATATATATATATATATATATATATATATATATATATATATATATATATACTTATACAGTATTGTGAAAAAGTTAAGAACCACTAAACTAAAAATATTTTTTTCAAACGAAATTAATTAACTTTTATTCTAAAGATAATACAAGTCTTTTTTTTTCAAACATTAAAATAAAACATGAGAAAAAAGAAGATTTTTTTTTTTTAATTAATTAATAAAACCTATAAAAATAAGGATTAAATATTATGTGTTAAATTTGTTCAATTTTTTTTTGTGAAAAAGTTAAGAATCATAAAGATTTTTTTGTGCTAAATGCGGTGAAAACGACTTTTTGAATTCATTTTTACCTTTTTATTTAAATATTCTATTAATGACCTGAGTCATTACTAAAAAATTAAAAGTATTAAGAAAAAGTTTTAATTTCAAACAAAAAAATTTTTTTCTTTTGAAAAAATGAGCAGAAAAGCCATTACCTATGAAGATCGTGTAAAAGTAGTGCATTTTCACCAGGAAGGTAAAACCGTTCGTGAAATTGAAAAAATAATAAAACGATCACATAGTTTGGTGCTAACCATCATCAAAAGATTCAGAGAGACAAAATCTTACGTTGATCGCTATCATTCAGGAAAACCGCGTTTTGACGATACCCAATGATGATCGTCTTTTAATCAGGTTGGCAAAGAAAAATTGAAACATGTCGTCGCAGAAACCCAAATATATTCTAGAGAATTTAATAGACTCAATGTCAAATCGTCTATATATATATATATATATATATATATATATATATATATATATATATATATATATATATATATATATATATATATATATATATATATATATATATATATATATATATATATATATATATATATATAGATAGATAGATAGATAGATAGATAGATAGATAGATAGATAGAGAGATAGAGAGATAGAGAGATAGATAGATAGATAGATAGATAGATAGATATAGATATTTCAGTTTATTCAGTTAAAATAATTTTAAATAAGTGCATACAAATAACTTTTGTTTGTGTTTACATTTCTTAAAATTAAGAGTAATGATTTGATAAAAATGCAAGCCTTTTGGGGAAAATCGGATTTTAGGCATCAGTATTGACAAAGTTTTTATACAATGCCGGATAGTTCTTAAGAAAAAAATAGAGATTATGTAGAAAAGCAAGGCAGTATTATTGTTCATTGGATTTTTCATTATCTGTTATTTTAGCTATAGTATTGGGAAATTTAAGTTATTCATTTATTGATAATAGTTGAAAGAGTTATCTGTGTACTTCGCCGATTAATGGTATTAAAATCAAAAATAAGAACCAAATAAAAAAATAAAAAGAGATGAAAAAATGAAAATATAGTACTGATTTAGGGCATGCTGAAAGAGACAAAATATATATAGATTGGCAGATTAGAGTGTGCGGACGTTGTTATTATTTATTAGAGATGTAAACTCCTCTAGAAAAATATTATATATATCCTTTTTTAAGATATATTCTTTTTTTGTTCTTTGTTACTTTTTAAAATGAAGGCATTAAAATGTAATGGAATGTTGGGATGGTTGATCTTAATGCAAAGTGGCCAAAAATCAAAAAAAGTAACAAAGTTCAAATATTAAGTCTGATAGTGGGTTTTATTACTAATATCCTCACCATGAATTTTCTAACTTATGAAATTTAAAAGGTGACTGACTCAATGGTATTCTTGAAGTTAATTTTAAACTGGATTAATTAATTCAGTTTTTGGAGCAATTGATTTAGTTGAATCTCGAGGTAATCAAGAGGGTTTAATAAATGAATGAGCAAAAAAATGTCGACCCACAAAAGAGTTTGATGAATTGACTTCTCGTAGCAAAAGACTATTGATAGCAAATACATCATTTGATTCAAAAACGAAATCAGTCAAAAAATTATTTTTAGTGTCACAAAGAACAGCTGCTCTTTATGCCACTTCTTTTTATTAAATTTAATTAACGTGTCTTTTAATTTAGT